AGCACTGTCAAGGCCAATTTCCAACTTTGGCTAGGCAGCCTGCCTGGGGAAGTCCAAGCCGCCCCACTGAGAGGCCCTAGCTGCTTGGGGTCAGAGGAAGTTGGTGTCTAGAAGGTCAGAAAGGGTCAAGAAGGTAGCTCTTCAGAGCTGAGGAGTGGTCTACTGTTCCCATGGCAACACCTGGCAGCTGGGCTCTTACCTCTGGGCACGGCTGGATTCTAGCCCTCTCTCCCATGCTTCCTTCCACAGCAACACTTTGCAAAGACATCAATAAAGCACAACGCAAGCATCAAATCCTGGGGTGTTTTCATGATTGGGACCCAGGGATAACTTCACATCTCCATGGGGGCGGGGGGCACGGGGGAGGGGGGGGAGGGCGTGGCACGGGGGCGGTGGGGGAGCAAAGACCCATAGCTTTCTCATTGGGTTTGTTTAGTTGGTCCTTCCTCGACCTTTAACATCTCTCAAAACTTCTCCATCTGGAGTTGAAAGTATGTTGTCATTCACTAGGTGGGAAATAAATGTGCTTCTGTGTGTGTGTGTGTGTGTGTGTGCTGTGAGAGAGAGATGCAAACAAATAGAGGAGACACAGGGACAGACACCAAGAGAGACAGGCCACCCAGCTCAGCACTGGATCCCAGAAAAGGCAGCTGCTGAGGGAGCAGGGAGTCCTGGGTCCTAGAGCCGTCCTCATCTCTGCAGGGAGATGCCACTTCCCTCTAGCCTTCAGTCTGCTCCTGCACAGTGCAGGGGACTCCTTTGAGAAGAGGGCAGGGCCTTCTACTAGCCCAGTGGGACACCAAGACAGTGGTCCCTGGAGCTTGGGGCTGCTGACAGCAGAGCCTAGGATCCTTGGTGAAGATGTGTTGGAAGTCCTCCCTGGTCTCAAGCAGCCACTGAGATACAACTATTTCTAGTCAAGAGAACCAAGAAAATCTTGGACAAGTGGATGCTTCTCCACCCACTCCAAACTGCCAGAAGCTCCAGGAATCCCCCCAGGGATGGGGGTAGGTTGCCAAGCCTCCTACAGGCTGTCTCTCAGCATCTCCAGTCTCATTCAGATCGAATGAGGCAGTGAGGGTCCTGGCTGGTGGTCCCCTGCCCTGGGTGGCAGAAAAGCCAGGCTAGGCCACGTCCAGCAGCTCAGAGCTGGGCACACGATCGCCCACCCCAAGGCTACTCTTTCTTCTGCTCTAAACTGGCTGCTCTGGGAAGCTGGAGGAAGAGAAGGAAGCTGGGGGGTGGAGCCATACCAGCACTCTGGGACTTGGGTGTCGGGGTTGCATGCGCAGACACCGATATGTTTGCAGAAAAAGTCTGGTTGAAAATATGTTGTGAAACAAAGGTGTGCCCATGGGAACAATTTAGTGGAGTTGCAAACAAACAGCATGTAGGCCCCCTAGAGAAACACCTGAGCAAGGTGAGCAGACATGGAGCCTGGGCATGCACCTTAGCTGAGGAGTGCTGAGGGGCTCCCAGCTGGGGTGGGCAGCCCGTGCAGAGGCTAGCTTTCCTACGCCTTCCCCTGAACTGCCCGATTGCCTGCCCCCCTCCCAAAGAAGGACGCTTGGGACCCCTCTCCTCCATGGTCATTCTGGAAAATGGGCACCAGCCTGCTCTGTCAACATCTTTTAGGGGCATGGGGACTAAATGGGGCTGGAGGCTTGGACTCCCAAACCCAGTGGGGGGCCCAAGGCAACTAACTGTTTGCCACTCCTGCCTGGCCCTCTGGCACTTCCCTGCTGAACTGCCCTTGCTTTGCCCAAGATCTCCTGGCACAAGGTTGGCCACAGGGAGGGGGCAACACTGGCTTAGAAGGGAGAGGGGAGCTAGTCCTTCTCATCTAGGGGCCGGGGCTGGGGGCTGGGCAGAGATGGGTTCTTGCTTCTCTGTGTGGTCCCAGGGGGTCAGGAGCTTCTCTAGGTCAGGGCTAGCCTTGCCCTTCCTGCAACAGTCAGTCCATTCTGACCCCGATCCTCCCGGACATGCCTACTACATGTTCTGAGCTTTGCAGGCCTCCCGCATCAGACTGTGCCCAGCAGGCACTGGAAGGCAGACATCTAGGGATCACTGACAAAGGGTCCTGTCGGGCCTTTGCTCCCTTGTTCAGGGGACCTCCTGTTGTTAGACTGCTGCGTGGTTCCAGACAGTTCTGTCTACTTGCATGTGCTCAGTATCTTTTGTGAGCCCCTTCCCAATCACCCCGGCAACCTCATATTCCAAGCCACTGGGCAAGGGGTAAATGTAGACCCAGCCACCTCCTGAGCAGAGGCTGAAACTCAATACCCTACTCCTTTCATCTCCAGGTGTATGCTAGCAACTCAGGATGAATGTGGGAGGCGGGCATGCGGGGAGGAGAGGAACACATTGCTGCTTTGGGGGAAAGCCACCTGTTCAGCCCCCGGTCCCTTCTCCTTCCTCAGTCACAACCCGGAAAGAAAAGACATGGCTTCAGAACAGCCTCTCTGGCTGCAGGGACCTCCTCTCTTCACCCCTCTACCCCCCACCCCCCACTCCTGCTTCTCCCAGGCCAGATGGGCTGGTTTGATGGTGACCAGGGCCAACCTGGTGGCAGGTGTGTGGGGGGTGGTGAGCTGAAGACTCTTGAGTCCCAGGACACTGAATCCTTGGAGATGAGCGTTCCCTGCAAGGAAGTGCTCCCCTGGGAGCTGGGGAGGGGCCAACGTCTAGGTCTGGCAAGCAGTTTCCATAGCCCATGAGCCCAGCATCCAGCCCTCACCAGCGACCGCGCGGGAAGGGCCACAGTGAGGGAGTCAGACAGACCCCCAGCTGGCAGGAGGGTTCACGCTAGGCACGGCATGCCCTCCTCCCCCGAGGGCTGAGGGCTGGCCAGCAGCTCGCTGACTGGACAGACCTCTGCTCCTTCGCTGCTGATGAGCCCCAGGGGCTCACCTTTGATTGAAGGCTGCACCCGAGGACCCACGGATGCTGACTGTGGCCAGGGAACATATCGTCTCTGAAGCCATCTGATTGGTGAGGGAAAGGGCTGACACCTTCCTTGCAGCACAAGCTAGTCTGGGGGCAGTGACATCTTTGCCTTCTAGAAGGGTGTTGGGATGGGATGGTTGGGGACGGGGTGGGGTGGAGAGAGTGGTGGCAGAGGGATGAAAGGACTGCCTGGCCAGGCAAGGGCCAGTTGAGGGAGAGAGGGGGCTGGGGCCTCATTCACTTCTGGAGCTGGGGGTAGGAGCCTGGTGCTTCCTCTAGGAAGCCCGCTGGGATTGTAACATTGGTTTTGGTCCTTCTAGCTGCGCTCTGGCTTCCCTGGAGGGGGAGCGCCCACTCTGAGCCTCCCAGACTTTGGGAGCCGACCCCTCTGTCATCCGTATCTGTAGTGAGCTAAGCCCTGGTAGCTTCTGGTTGAGGGAGACTCTGGGCTTATCAGCCAGCTGCGGACAGGGACAGTTAGTGTGGATGTGTGTGGCTCTCAGCTCCCCTGCCTGTGCCCGTGCCTGAGCTCCTTTGTGAAACAGGTATCCTTGTCTGTCGAGGGCAGTGGCTCTCTCCCTTCCTCATGCCGCGACCCTTTCAGACAGTTCCTCATGTGGTGGTGACCCCCCAACCATCACATTATGTTTGTTGCTACTTCATAACTGTCAATTTGCTACTGTTATGAATCGGGCGACCCCCGTGAAAGGGTCGTTTGACCCCCAAAGGGCTCGTGACCCACAGGTGGAGAAGCGCTGTTCAGTGCGTGGGTGGAGCACTTTGCTTTGACTTGCGCCCAAACAGTGGCTGACAATTGGGCCTCGCATGCCCAGGATGTCCTTAGAATCAACAAGAATAGCTCTGGCCACACTGCCACCAGGCACCAGCAAGTGGGAGGAGAGAAGGCTGGGCAGACAGGGAGGCAAGATAGTAGAAAGGTTTTGAATTCCCTAAGGACAAGGTTTGGAACATATTATGTAGATGATCTGTCCATTTAGTCAACATTTACTTGATGCTGTTCTTTGTCCGGAGGATCCAGGAATAGAGCAGACACCCCTTGGGGTGGGGGTGGGGCAGTCAACAAGCAAGTCTATGGTCAAGAGATGATGATCCTGTGACAGCAGGGCAACCTGAACACAGGGCGGGACGTGGCTGTGGGGAAGAGCAGAGCAAGCCCGGAGAATCATTCGTTCCCTTCGCAAATGCGGATGGAGCCGCTGTGAGCAAACAAAAGAGGCAGATCCCTGGCCCTGTCGGTTCATTTCGAGATCCCTTCACGGATTTTAGAGATGAGATTTTCTCAGCTCACCTTGGGGGGTTCAGAACAAGCATCTCAGCCTGGCCCAGGGCAGTAGTCCTCCTAAGTGGCCTTCATGGAGGTGAAGGGGACTCTGATGAGAGATTTTTCAGCAATAGAACCAAATAGGGTTGAGGCACAGGCTTAGAGGTAGCAAGGAGGACCTTTAGGTTTCTGATTGAGCAAATGTGGGAGACATGAGCCTTTCTTGAGAGGAAGGGATGGTTGTTGCGCCAGCAAGTGGCAGGAGATGAAATGTTTGGGACATATTGGATTCAGGGGTCTGGTGCTGGCCCCCACCCCAGATGATGGTAGTTTGGGGGCACCAGGAACTGGAGCTCAGAGCGGTTGGGAATAATCTGCAATCACTGGGTAAATCATGTTAATCTTGGTTACCGGATACTGTGCTCCTGGGTCCACTGTGTGTTGGTATGACCCTAATGCCGTGACCCTTTCAGACAGTTCCTCATGTGGTGATGACCCCCCCAACCATAAAATCACTTTTGTTGCTACTTCATCACTTCAATTTTGCTACCGTTATGAATCGGGCAGCCCCTGTGAAAGGGTTTTTCAACCCCCAAAGGGGTCACGACGCACA